ATTTTTTTTTGTCTGTCTGTCTTATCTATCTATCTGTCTGTCTGTCTGTCTGTCTGTCTGTCTGTATCTATCTGTCTATCTATCTGTTTGTCTAACTATATATCTCTTTGTCTGTCTGTATCTTTCTTTCTATCTGTCTGACTGCATCTATCTATCTATCTGTCTGTCTGTATCTATCTACTTGGCTATTGTTTATTGAAATGCAAAAGAGTATGATGATGTGTGTTTTTATAATTTTTTTGTGTGCACAATATATAACATGATATAAGAAAATACAAGATGACATGTTTAAAATGTCAAGCTGTGCGTTGGGTAACTTTTTGCAGTTATCATGGATCGCTACCAAGAACAGCCACATCTTCTGGATCCTCACTTAGGTAAGTTAAAGCGATGAATGTGATGGGCATGATGAATGTGCTTTGTGATTGAACAGCGTTAGTAACGCTGTATTTGCTGTTGTGCAGAGTGGATGCTGAACATGCTCTTGGAGATGATCCGCAATGAGAAGTCGCCACCTCCAATGGTCCATCTCTGTTTCAAATTTCTCTATATCATCTCAAAGGCAAGATGGTGTACATCTCTCTAAGTTTGACTGATAATCTCTCTGAAACCACAGAAAGAGTGATTTGTGAGTTTGTGTCTTGATTTTGTGATTCCTGGTGCTTCCGCAGGTCAGAGGCTACAAGATCTTCATGCAGCTGTTCCCCCATGAGGTGTCAGATGTTCAGCCGGTTCTGGACCTTTTATGCAGACAGGACCCAAAAGACACTGAGGTTACTTATCATAGGCTCTGTAATGAGCCCCACAGTGTAACACATAATCATACAAGCTAAATTAATGTCTAGAGTTCTTACACAGGTCAGATCATATATTTGAATTTCCCCCCTAAATTTCACTTATAATGTTAGTTAAAGAATCCCTGTGGTTAATGTTCCCTCTAAATTTTTTTAAATTTTTTTTCTGAGCAAAACTTTTCTCTATTGGGTGGACATTTCGGCTACCTGAGCAAAAACATTCTTTATACTAGACCTGGGGCCCGTTCTTCGTACGTCAGGTTCATAATCTTAAACCTAAGAGAAAGGAAAAATTGAAATCGCATCATATGGCCCCTTTAAATGTGTCATTTTATTATCAAAGGTGAGTTTTAAGGGATAACAATATTGACTGCAGGGGGACTTTTAAGTTTTTTTGTGCCAACAAACAGTCATAAAACCCTTCTTGGAAGTCCTTCCAAGAAATCCACAGTGAATAGCTTCAGGTAGTAAGTAGTTGCAGCAGGTCACCATTTATCACATCTGGAAAATAGCATCCATGTGTGTTACTTGTAATTTACCCTTCCAAAAGCACAAGATCATCTAGGTAGTGACTGTATGTTTCTGTATTAGACCTGGGAAACACGCTACATACTCCTCCTCTGGCTCTCCATGACATGTCTCATTCCCTTTGACTTGTCCCGTCTGGACGGCCACCTGTCCACTGACCCCGGGCTGAACAGAGAGTCCATCATGGATCGGATTCTGGCTGTTGCCAAGGTAACACACACAATCACAGACCACTCATAGACTTGTCAACGTTTGTATTGTATGTGAATGAGTCAAATTAGTAAGCATTTTTTTTATTTTTTATTGTCAGTTTTGCAAATCATATTTTTTAAACTTATACTTATCGTTACCTATGTGTCATTAATTATTTTTGCTGCAGTCCTTTCTCAGAGTGAGTGACAAATCTCGAGATGCTGCATCAGTGCTGGTATCGAAGTAAGTTACATGTTATGTGTTCTTTCCCCTATATGTGTGTTTATTATCTGTGTAACACTGGGCAATATGTGAAATAATTAAATGTTTTGCCTGGCAAAATTAATATAAAATTAAGCAACAGTGTAAACCTAACATTTTTTTTTTGGCCATTTTCTAAAGAGTGTCTCATTAGACAGTATCCACCATGCTTCTGTGTCTTACCAGAATGAGAGTGTTAAGACTAAAATGATTTAAAAATGCCTCTTATTAAACTTAAGTAGACAATACAGCCTTTGAGCTGGTTCAATTCAATTCTCTTTCATGAATCATTTCAAACTGATAATATATTCCAAACACTGATTAAGTGACTCATTTGCATCATCAGTCATAAGTCTTCATATAATAAAGTGTTTTAGTAAAATGTATAAGCAGATAAATTTTGTTGTTTAGTACTTTAGTCTACTAATGTACAGTATATTGGTGCATATAATTAAACATGATTAAATATTGTTCTTCCTTGGATTCATTTGAGTTTTACACTTAAATTTGTATTTATTTATTTATTTATTCATTCATTTATTTATTTGTCTATCATGTTGAATCCACTTGTTTAAATGGCTGTTTAGTTAAAATTCTGATAAAAAAAAAAAAAAAGATTTTGCCCAGCATAGTTTTCGTATGTTATAGAAATGATTTCCACTCTTATGATATCCAAAAGTGGTGTTTATTGTAAAATATTGACAGCTTTACTCCCTGACCAGTAGAGGGCACTGTTTAAACACTTTTAGATTATTTCTTTGCTTGAAGGATTTGTGTTATCGGCACAGGTTTGTGACTCGTCCAGATGTGAAGCAGAAGCGTCTGGGTGATTTTCTGGACTGGTGTCTGACAACCATCTCTCAGACCAGTGAGGTTACCATGGAGGGAACTGTGACCCTTGATGGAGCTTTGCAATCTCTGGTGAGCCTCCAGTCACATGTAGGACTGTTTATGTTCTCCACTTCCTCCTTTTCTTTTCAGGAGAATGAAAATATTGAACATTCAAATGCTTGGCAATAATAAACAGAATATTATTGTCATTTGCAGTAGATGTTAATATAGTTATCTTTATAGTCATTGTTCTAGGTGTGAATGGGCCTCCTTTAGGCCTGTAATTCCTGCACTTGTTTAGTAGCTGCACGTATTTGCTGGAGATACCTGCTAAATCCTAGAGAGGCAGCGGTTACATGCCCTCCTACCTGTATTTTTTTTTACACTGCTGTGTTAAAATGCTGATAATCGCTCATTGCAGTGACTGATCTTTATCAGAATTAGTTTCTTTGCAATGAAACATCATGCATGGTTTAAAGTCCAGAGAGCTGTGAAAACGATCCTGCTGCTGTTATTCTTTTGTGAAGCGCGTCTCTATCACCCGAGGCGCTCAAAACTGGCTTTGTGCGATGAGAATGCCTGGGGTGCTAAAACTGCAATCAGTGTTTTGCATATATGCTTTAAGTGCCACAAGGCTGTGAGCAGGAACATGTGCGGTGCACTTTTAAACTTGATAATTACTTGAAACTGCTGCTGGCACTAAGATTAACGGGATTCAGACATGTTGAAAATGGGTTTAGTAAATTTGGCTTAATATCAACTTGATGATATACAGTATAGATAAAGTATCGCTCAGATTTCAAGTGGGTCGTTAGGGTAGTTCATTATTTACCACCTAGGGGTATGTGTACCGCAGGGTTTTTTAGATTTTGATAAAATGTTTAAAATAATTGAAAATAATCTCATCAATATTTTGATTTTTAATAAATATATTATTTCTCACCAGGCCCAGCTCTTCAAGCACGGGAAACGTGATGATTTCCTGCAATATGGTATGTATATGTCCTTTAGGTCTTTCTTTGGTCTCTATAAAACCAGAACATAGATAAATGCTTACTAATTTTACATGACCGTTCAAAGCCCCAACAGTGCTTCAGTGCCTGAATCAGAAGAGAATAGCGGAGAGTAACCAGGCCACATTGCGTAAGCTGGGTGTAAAAGTGGTCCAGAGACTTGGCTTGACCTTTCTAAAACCACGTTTGGCCAAATGGAGGTAATTGAGGAGTGATGACGTATTGACAAAATATGATGAAATGAAACAAAGGATGCTTAAAAGTATAAGCTAGTTTGTAAGAATTTTGTATGACTACATCTAGATACCAGAGAGGAAGTCGGTCACTCGCAGTGAACCTGGCCCAGTCTTCTGTCACTGAAAGTGTAGAGGCTACAAAACCTGATCTAGAGTCTGTCAGTCAGGAGGAAGACTACGACATACCTGAGGAGGTAGAAAATATCATTGGTAAGTATTCATGCACATTTTCATATCTGTTTGTTTTATTTGCTCAATTATTAAATGCTCTCATGTACTGCTAATTTGCTTATTCATTGTTGCAGAACAACTGTTGGTGGGACTGAAAGACAAAGAGACAATAGTGAGATGGTCTTCTGCCAAGGGGTGAGAACAGTTATCTGGTCTAGGTGTGATAGTGCTATATTTTAATGCCATATTTCTCTGTAATAATCCCTAGAGTTATATTCTATGTTTAACTGGTCTTTCTCCTTTTAACCACCTACAGGATTGGAAGGGTAACTGGTAGACTACCTAAACAGCTTGCAGATGATGTGGTTGAGTCTGTTTTAGAGTGTTTCAGGTGCGTCATGATATAAAAGGAGGCAGAGATGTTATGATGTGTTTTCAAATACTTAGTGAGGTATTTTTCAATGACTTTTATGTCTTCACATTTTATAGTTTTCAGGAAACAGATAATGCCTGGCATGGAGGCTGCTTGGCTCTTGCAGAGCTTGGCCGAAGAGGACTGCTGCTTCCTTCCCGTCTCTCAGATGGTTGGCTTGTGTTTTATTTATTTTTTTATTTTTTTGTATTCAGTTTGAAAGCTTCTGGATTTTCTTTTCCTCTGACATAAATTGTAATATTATAGCTATAATCATCGTACCTCCCCTACACCATACTCATGTTTCAAAAACATTTATAAGCAAACATAATTCACTTTATGCAAACACTTAATTCAAATACTTCAAGTTTAACAAGATCCTTTATTTTTATTTTTTTAAATGCCACCACCCGCCTCCCTTTAATGATCTGTTACATGTTTTCTCAAAGCACACAAGATTCTCAGTGTACAATCTGGGCTGCCATTTTTCTTCCAATCAGTCCTTAATGTTATACACTAAGAATATTTTGGAATTATCTATATTTACATTTATGCATTAAGCAAATGCTTTTGTCCAAAGCAGCTTACTTTAAAGTTGCCAGTTCATGCGTACCCTTGGAATTGATCCCATGACCATTGAACACTAATGACAAGCAATTTTACAGACATAAATAGAATAATATTTGAAGACTTTAATGTAGATGTTGGCCGTCTTCCTGTAAAGTCTCTTGAGTATTGATCTTTTCACTGGAGCTCGTTTCTGTCTGAATTGCAGCAGTCCACACTTTGGGATCTCTGAATCAGCAGTTTTGTGACCTCTTTCTTTGAGTTCGAGCAGGTTCTTTGACCTTTGCTCTTTTGGTAGTGTGTCTCAGAGGTCTATTGTTTACCCGTTTTTGTCCCAGTGTGCTCTGTTTTGGTGTGTCTGGAGTGTCTTTGGCTGGGCTCTTGTCTGGGGGAGGAAGACTTTGACTGTTCTGGCCCTCAGTCATTTCTTGTTGGTCAATAGAGGAGTCAGTGATAATGTCCTTTGAGCTAGCTAGCTGACACAGAGCGAAGGCAGCAGAGTGTCTCTGGTCACATGGGTCTATTTCTTGTTCTCTGGGTGGAACAATTGTGCATACCTCAGCATTTATAATGGTTTGTCTTTCTGGAGTATCAGAGCCTGTGGTGTTGGGCAAGGCTAGGTTGTTGGACTGAACCCTGAGGCAGAGGTTGAGCGGTGCTTCTTCTTGACTACTTTCTGAATCATAATGGAGCTCGCAGTCAGAGTAGTGGTGTGTCATGTTGCTGGATACGGCCCGGTCCCTCTTTGAAAGGTTAAGAGGAGCTGGTTCTTCCTCGGTTTCTTCGTCTTCCTTTTCTGTTGAAATCTCACTGCTTCTTGCAGAAGCTGTGGTTTGTGGTTTATTCCTAAAAAGATAAGTAAAGATATGTAAAGAGTAGAGTAATCATTAACTTTCTTGTGGGCAACCTGACAAGATATTCTTTTATTTGATTGTGATGTAAAGTGTCATTACATAGCTGCATAGAGTTTACCTACCTCTCTTTATTTTGTAACATGCTCTCTTGAGTTTGTCCACATGATTTCTTGGGTAAGTTTTCAGTTGCTGTAGTTGCCGCTGGTTCAACATGCTGTGATTGACTAACTGGGAATGACTCCCCATGAGAAGCGTGCCTGAGTGTAACAGGGATCCGCTGGGTGACATCTGCGGTACTAGGCCTGTCTGGAGACCCGGAGGCGGCACACCCTGCTAAAGGACTCTGGCGAGTACCTTTGTCTACTGTATTGTGCTCCTGGAAAGCCCTGTCCTCAGGAAGTCTGCTGTAAGAATCAGGATGAGGTAGGGGTACTAGATGCCCTCCATACTCTCGAGGATAAAATCTGTTGCTGTACACATCCAGAGGAAGATACCTGGTTCTCTGTAAGGACATGGAAAATTCAGGGTGTTGGTAGAGGCTGTAGGGTAGAGGTGGACCAGGGATAATAGAATGGCCGTATCTGTAGTGATAAGGATGGAGAAGGGAAGTACTAGGTGGGACCAAAGGTGATGGAACAAGAGGTCTTTGGGTCTCTCGAGGTGTAAGTTGGTAGGCTGGGGTGTTTGCTTGGTTGTGTGAGTAGGGTGTGTAGAGAGAATGCAAGGGCCTCTCAGATACCATGTATGACGGATAGTCCGTTATTAGAGGAAGAAGCGGTGCTGTGGAAGCAGGTGGGACCCAGGGTGCCATTTGGTGGTAAAACTGAGGAATGGCTGAAGATGATTGATCATCTTTGTGTGGAGACCGAGATAGAGCTTCGCTTTCACATGTTCGTGCAACCGGTGAGAAAGCTGAAGATATTTTGTTCTGTTCAATGTCTATGTCTCCATTTTTGTCCCTGGTCTCACAGATTGGCTCAGGGACATCTTTAGTGACCTCCTTGATGGGACTTTCAGGCTTTTCTCTTGTTCCTTTACCCATCTCCTCTTGTTCAACCTTGTCGTTGACCCTTTCTGTAGGTTTGCTGGCTTCAGCTTCCAGGGGTGGCTCTTTACTCTTGTGGTTGAAGGGAAAATTATGCTGGGAAGTTCTCTGCGTTTTCCCTGTCTGTTCCATGCGCTGAGACACCAGAGAGATGGAGTTCTTGCACAGGTTATACTTCATGTGGTTGAAGAGATGAGACTTGATGTTGCAGGTGAAGGGACATTGGAAACACTGATATTTGAATGGTTTGCCAGCAGGGCGGGGAATGTAATGGGGTTTCTTCGGTTTTCTTCCCTGGAGAGTGTCCATACTGGTGCAGTTGTTCAAATCCAATACTATGTGGTTTGTCAGCCTTAAAGAAAAAAGAAAAAGATTAACCGTTTTGCCACACCCTGGAGCAGAGCGTCTTCTGTTTGTTGGGTCAGAAAGGTTAGTGACCCAATAAAACGAAAGTTTGCATGCTCACTTTCCCTTAACTTTTTAACTAGGCTGTAGCTGTTCTGTATTGTTTGTTGGTCTGCGTATTAGCATGACATGCTCTAGCTGCACTGCTGAAGCCAGAGTAGGCCTGTAGAAACATGCTCCCCTTTTTCAAAACCTGATGGCGTGGGAAACCACATACACCTGTTTCCCATGACCTTACCTGCAGGATACAAACTCCAGACATTTAAAAATGTATCTCACTTACACTGTAAATGTAGAGAAGCTACCAGAGCTATTAGAATGAAATTTAGTCTGTTATAACATCTGCAACCAATTGGACTGCTTCAGTGCTTGAAGGAAATTACTTCTACAATTCTGCACAACAATCAGGATACATAATGGTCCGGTAAGTGCAAAGATTTTGGGGCCTGAAGGTTTGTATTGGGAAGCAGAAGATTGACGAAAGAGACTGCCAGGCAAGTTATGCAGAAAATGACTCCACCTTAAGGAACCTGTTTGTCACAGGCTGTCGCAAGAAGTGGTGGCTCAGGTTTTGGCTCCCATGTTTCATACGAAGCCGCTCCCTCCTCAAGGCACAATTTAAATAATTTTTGTATTTTTGTATTTCAGTTTGCTGTTGTATATCTCGTTTCCTTGTTTCGTGGTTTTTAGTCATTCTTCTTTGGGTACAACGATGTCTTGTGATTTCAGCATAATATAAGACTTTACATTTCTAAATGGAATTTTTTGGTTATTAAGATATAGACTGAATATTACATGTACAACCACATGGCAAATACATTAGAATATTTTCTACCCGATGTAGTGTAACAGGTGCATCAATTGTCAGCAATTTAGAGCTACCCCTGAATCACCTGCTACAAAGTACATCAACAATTCAGCCTTTACAAACGCTAAAAGTACATGTGAACAGCAATAAGAACAGTTACCATTGGAAATCTTAGTGACATTGTTGCAGCCTTACCTGTATTTAGACTCGTTGTTTGGGATGTTGGATGTATCGTCAATGGATGTATGTCCACAGTGGACCTCCTGAAACGTATGATGGTCCCACAGTGGAAAAGTTTGGACGATGTGGTTGTCCTTGAGAGTGGGTGTCTGTTCGTTTAGGTGTTCCGTCTAGTTTCTGATGAGTCTCTCACGTCCTCTCTGAGGTGTTGACTCTGTGGGGTGGAGTCTATGCCCAAGCAGTAGAGCCCTGAGGCAGCATCAATGTGCCTGATATTTGGCAAGCCCCAAGCCACGATGCATTGCTAGTTTGCCTCCTATCTCACCAGCTAGCAAGAATCCACATGGATGAGAAGCCAGACAAGACTGTTTGTGGCTTTTGTTTGCCTGAATGGTTGAATTAGCCCAGGAGTGGTAGAGTTAGGTGTGAAGCAGGTTTGAGGATGTTGTCAGAGGGGTGTGGAGATATTGAGGACAACCAGTGAGATTTGCATGAATCCAAATGTGTGCGCTACACCTGATGTGAAGTGTCTTTCAGCATGGTTATGAAAATGCAGTTATTTTTCGCCAGATCTGGATCTTATTTGAATGTAACTAAATTTAATTGTAGATTTTAGGGTTGTTTTGAAAAATTGATTCACGTTTATTTGCATACACAGCATGAATCATGAACTCAATTTCAGCTCCACCTGAAGATTTTAGAAGACAATTCCTTGTAATGAGGTTCTTCCAATGGTCAACTATCAATACTCTCTCCCTTTTGTGTGTGTCTGTGTGTATTTATGCACCACTCACATTTTATTATGAATGTGCAATAATCTCAATCAATGTGTGGAGTCATTAAGATGTTTTATAAGCAATTAAAACTTTTATTCACCAAGAATGCATTAAATTGATCAAAAGTGTTGGTAAAGACAATTATAATTTAACAAAAGATTTCTGTTTCAAATAGATGCTGTTCTTTTGAACTTTCTATTCATCAAAGAATCCTGAAATCCTGAAGTATCACGGTTTTCACAAAAACATTAAGCAGCACAACTCTCAACATTGACAATAATAAGAGCAATTTTTTTCTTGAGTATCAAATCAGCTTATTAGAATGATTTCTGAAGGAACATGTGACACTGAAGACTGTAGTAATGATGCTGAAAATTCAGCTTTGGCAAAACAGAAATTTACATTTTAAAATATATAAAAAAAAAACAGTTATTATAAATTGTTATAATATTGGACAATGTTGCTGTTTTTAACTGTATTTTTGATCAAATAAATGCATATATAAATTTTGGGAAATATTTTAGATTACAAAAGTAATTAGTTTTGCATACTAATATTTTGTCTGCATTCTACAGTGGTGCCTCTGATTATAAAAGCTCTGACATATGATGAGAAAAGGGGCGCATGCAGTTTGGGATCGAACGTACGTGATGCAGCCTGCTACGTGTGCTGGGCTTTCGCCCGAGCCTATGAGCCAAATGAACTGAAGCCTTATGTCAACCAGATTGCCAGGTACAAACCCACCACCAGCACCTCAGCCACTGTGCTTTACTGAGACATTATACATGTTATTTATGCCATTTATTAAATTAGCTAATTAAGGCACCAACCTTTGGTAAATAGCTTGTTCCATACCATTTGTGCTGCCAACTGTTCGCCTTTTAAAATTATTAAATACATTACTGTTGGCTCTTAATTCACATAGTTAACTTTACTATGTTATTCATTATTTTTAGTAGATTTGCTGTGTGGCCATTGCATGGCTCACGTCTAGAATCTTAATTATGAATATATGAAAATAGTTTTTTTTTTTTTTCCCCCAACCCTTGATGGAAACTGACTCCTGTACGCCCACTATTTTATACAAGCTTTTGGCGTGACCTTTCTTAGATCTTTGTGAAGGTGTTTTTGGATGTTCTCCAGGATGAAAGCTCTTTCCACCAGAACCAGCTGTGGTGAGAGCTGATCTGATTTCAGTGATGGGTGAAAATGACAGCTCAACTTGGGTGGCTCTGTTGACCTTACGGTTACACTTTCTCTCCAATGAAATTACTTTTTTTTTTTTTTTTGTAATGAGGTTAGGCTGTAGCATTAGTGAGGCTGGCAGTAAATCTGCAACCCACATACTGAGAGCTCTTTGTTTTTAAGTCAGCAAGCCACACAGTATGTAGTAAGAGGAATTGACCGTTTTCACCACACTACCTGGTAATTATTTTAAGAAAATTCCCCTTTGCTGTCACAGCAAATGATATTTAAAGGAAACTGCTGTTTGACATAATTCTATCTTTTTTTTTTTTTTTTTACTTTGTGAACATCTATGGAGAATTTTTAATGAGAACTGAACTTCCAGGAGGGAAGTTAAGGCTTGTATTATAAACGTCCAAAAAAAACGCTCAACAGCCCCTTCTCATACCTGTTCGCCTGGCTATAGTTATTCACCGCCTTAAAACCAGTTTATACACCTCTCACAGCTCAGAACCTCGCCCTGCTGTGGATATACAGTATAGTCTCTTGGTCTATGCGTCTGTTAGTACATTACAAATTTAAAATGGAATTACATTAACTGTACACAGAGAACGAGGAGAAGATACTGCTTTGCCGAACCTGAAAAAAGATGATAAACCTAAATAAATATATTTCACCCCAAAATATTTTGTTTTGTGGAACAGAAATGGAGAAATTTGAAGAATCTTCACGTAGCTCTTTTTCAACTTTAAGCTTCAAAAAAGGACAAAATAATACAGTAAAAGCAAAATTGTCTAGTCCATATGATTTGTGTGCTTTTTATACCAAGTCATATGATTGCTTTGTGTGACAGTGAAACCCAAAATATTAATTGACAGTCTTTATTTCTGCCAAGGCTCTAAAATGAACTACAAGTTCAACAAACAATGACACAAGTTCCAGTACTGCTTTGATGCACGTGACTGATACGATTTCACATTTTCTGTGCTGATTTTGGGAGAAAATCTGCGGAATGGATTTAAAGATAATAAAGTGTGCATAGATTTGATGTGGTTGATGTATATAGATGAATGGAAATTAGTTGGTCCCGTTCTTTTATCTTTCACTGTAGCATTAACTGTCACCAGCCATTGTATTCTTGTCGCTAAGATGAAATGTTATGATTTTTGGATCGGGTCTAGATCTCTCTGGTACAAGACGGCGAGCATTATTTAATGGATCTTTTTTCAGAAAGCTAACGTATTTTCCCATGAGGAAGTTGCCTATTTGCTTTAATTGTGGTGCTTGCTAGTATTATTACTACCCAGATTTATGCTTAGGTGTGTTGCTGTACACTTTTAACTTTGCTGCGTAACTGTATTTTGTAATTCTTCTTCAAATTCTGCCGTGTTCTGTTTGTGTGGTGATTTAGTGGTGAATCAGCTCAGCGAAACAGTTTCATCAGCAGAAAGCATTTTTCCCTCCCAGGTTCAACAGTAAGCCTTTCAGTCACCATAAAAACATAATGATATTACGAGAATGTCAGCTGAAAGATGCTCCGCTGCCCCCCCCCCGTTTGGGACAAGTGTGGGCCTGTGTGTAACTGACTGTGCACTTTGCATTACTCCTTCAGTTTGTTGGCCCTCCCCGTAACGTCCCTCCTCCCTATCCTCACGGTGCTGCCAGGTTTCGTCTGTTGTCGTGGGTTTCGGTCGCCATTTGGCACCCAGGCTGTAGGCCTGTCGAGTCCTGTTCTAATTTCATCAGCAGTCAAAGGTTGTTTCTGTGAGCTCCCGCCCCCCCCCCCCCGTTTGGGACAAGTGTGGGCCTGTGTGTAACTGACTGTGCACTTTGCATTACTCCTTCAGTTTGTTGGCCCTCCCCGTAACGTCCCTCCTCCCTATCCTCACGGTGCTGCCAGGTTTCGTCTGTTGTCGTGGGTTTCGGTCGCCATTTGGCACCCAGGCTGTAGGCCTGTCGAGTCCTGTTCTAATTTCATCAGCAGTCAAAGGTTGTTTCTGTGAGCTCACTGACGCTTTCAGAAACCGTGTCATTGCATGAAACTTCACTATTGTTTTTTTTTTTCCTACATTTTGGAGGGTTTATATACACACACACTTTTTTTTTTAAAAGAAATACATTTATATATGCATTAAATTCATCAAGTTGCAGTAAAGATTTTTACTTTTTCCCTTAATTTATATTTTAAGTAAATGCTGTTCTTTTGAACTTTATATTCATCAAAAAATCCTGGAAAAAATGTATAAGGGTTTTCAATAAAAATATTTAGCTGCACAACTGTTTTCAACATTGATAATAATAATAAATGTTTCTTGAGCAGCAAAAGAGTGATTTCTGAACAATCATGTTACACTGAAGCCTGGAGAAATGATGCTGAAAATTCAGCTTTAATTGCATTGCAAAAATTACAAAATATATAAAAATAAAAAAGTCATTTTAAATTGTAATACTGATTCACAATATTACAGCTTTTACTGTATTTTTGATTGAATAAATGTAGCCTCGGTGAACATAAGAGGTTTCTTTCAAAAACACAAAATCTCACAGAATCTAAACTTTTGAACTGTAGTGTATATGCAAATATTTACTCAATATAAAACAGATCCTTAAAGATAATACATCATCTATGGTCCCCTTTGACTTTCTGTTTTGGCACACTTCCCCCCCAGAAACGTTTCCTTAAATTATAATTCTGTCTTTATTTACTCAAACTTGAAGTCGTTTCAAATCTCTGACTCTTTCTTCAGGGAAACAGAAAAGGAGAAATTTGGAGAATTTGTACTTTTTATTGCAGTGAATGGAGACTGACTTCAAATAGGATGCAAAAGCACCTTAAAAATAGTTAATATTACTCATGTGTTATTACATTCATCCTAGGTGCATTCGTGTGAAATGAAAAGTAGCAGTTATCTTTTCAGTGAATCTGTTGATACGGTTTACAAAACAGGTCTGGATTCATTCACAAACCTGACTCGTTCTCGACTCACTAACTCAATGATCCGGTTGCAGGGGATTGCATTTTTAATGTTTGACCAGTACAATTCTTAAAAAGTTCTCCTTTTGTGTTTGATGGAAGAAAGTATGTCAAAGGAAGAACTATCCCTTTAAGCTTGAAGTCATTTACAGTGCACAGGCAACAGGTTTCGATGGTTTCCCAATTGATTGCGTAATCCATAGAAGAATGCAAGACATTATTATAAAACAATAACAGTGACACGTCTAGCTCTGTATGCATGTTCAGTCTCTGTCCATTTTATGCTGCTCCAGGCCACTATCAGTTGTTCATCGAAACCAGCACGGCCGTGTTAAGCCCGTAGGGTTGTGCGTGTGTATGTTTGTGTACTTCATTCTCCCAGGCTGTGAGTGACGGTGGGAATACCTCGCGGGCACGTTCACACAGCTCGATTGAGGAGGAGGAGAGGTGGAATAAAGGGAAAAGTGTGCAACAGGCTTATGGGGGCATTGAAATGATAGATGAGGTTTGAGATGAGAAGTACACGCTTGTTTTTAATCATGTGCCTCATCACTGGGGGTGAAAGATCTGAAGGTTTAGCGAAGTACATGTTTGAGTGAAAGCGTTGAATGTGTTTCACCTCAGACTGTCAAACGAATGAAATCAATGTCGAGAGTTAGGATGCACATAAAATATATTAACAGTTATCCTAATTCATTTCTGTATTAATAATAATAATAACAACAACAATAATAATAAATATAATTTATTAATAATAATA